AAATACACATCTTGCATCTGTTTGAGTTTTTCGTCTGTGTCTTGACCACCTGAATCATACGCCTGGTTCCTATGTACATGAAATATTGAACGGCACACAGATTCAACTTAAATCAGTTGTCAACATTATTACTCAAGAAGTTGCAAAACTGATCAATTCAGTCTTAAGTAATATTATTTTGTCCACAGCAGGTAGTTACTGGGTAAAACAATTCTATAAATATGAGCTACTTAAATTTGCTTGTGTTATAAGAAATAAAAATTGCAGAAAATGTAAACATGTAAAAGCTATACTTCGTTATTAAATGTCCAAAAAAAGGCCATTCAGCATTTCAGCATACATCAATCTAGTCTTCATGGCTTCCACTTTAAGACAACTTAAACCTATTTTAAAATACACTACAAATGCTCACTTACATAGATGATACCAGTCCAGTAATGTCTATAGCAGTGGAGAATTTCTGTGTCAAAGATACCAAAACACCGGCTGCCATCTGAATATCTGGAAGTCTGCCACACAAGAGAGCCAAAAATACATGGATTTCAGTTGTTGAAAAGATAAACTAGCTGATGGAAGTAGAGAAAAACTGCAAAAGGGTACATGAAGGAAAGGGCATGCCCTGGTCAATTGATGATGAACATGCAGGATCTGACAAGTTGATACAACATTAAGGTGGCCATGAAGCTCAACCCTTGTTACTAAGAAATGCATTTCTTCATTCAAATGATCATCTCGTTACAAGTTAAGCTTTATTAAGAATTAAGTATTGACTTGTTTACTTCGAGAGCGGGGAAAGAAAGCCAGCTGAGTTTGTAGCACTACAAACTCACGAGAGTCATTTCTGTTTTCTTTGGTTTGACTATCTGCTGGCGCTTTTTGCGTTTCCATTGCCGAAATTGTCCAAGAATTACGAATGTAGTTCTATTTCTATTTTTTCATGCGCGGGATCAATGCGGGCAATCCTCATAAGTATCCTAATAAAAGATGAGGTGAAGAGTTGGGACCGTAAAGAAATACAGCTGCAGTTACTCATCAGCTGTTATTACAAGAAGCACAATGTTACCTCGTCTCTGAATTTCCAGCAATTCTAATTACCTGTAATTCTAAATCATCACTTGAAATACCAGTATGTCCCCATATTTGCAAGGTAGTCTTAGCTTTAATGTAAACAAATAACCATAGCTCTAAACGAAAACATCTACTTTTCTCATAAGCTATTTACTTTTGAATCAAACCACCATTTACATACACCATACACAGCACTGACCAAAAACACTTATAAATTCATATTTTTTGTAGTCACCACAATGGTACATGTTGGTTAAATATATGAATTAATCAAAATGGCTCTAATTACCTGCTAGCTGTTTTACTGGACAATAATGTCAAGACCTCACTGTAATCATCACCTTCCTCATAAACAGGCAATAGCCAATTGAAAAGATGATGACGTAAGTGATATGCATCTTGACTTGGATCAGGAAGTCCTAGTGGTGAAGGAGGTTGGTAATTTTCTGGCAAAGAAAACAGCTGCAAATAGGTGGCTACAAATTCCAGAGAAGACCTATGCACAACAAAAACACACAGTAAAGTTTTCATTCACGGTTAGTAAAGAAAGATGTTGTACCCTATGGCATATGGCAATACAAAATAACTATTGATTAGAGATGTGAACTCCCTTGGTGCTAGAGCTGTTGGCTAGAGAACATATCTTTACAAAGTCTAGCATCACATGGTTGCATGTTTTCTACACCAAGTCTGAGAAATGGTCCTAAAACCTTTTGCAAGTTGTACTTTAATTTCTTCATCTATGATTATAATAAAAAAGAAATACACATGAAAGCAGTGATGTGCTGTATCCAATAATGAATTCCTCATTTACATTGTACCAAGTAATTAACCTTTATAACTCTTTTTTAAATGGCTGGAAACAGTTTTCTGAGACAACTGGTGACTGTATCCAAAGCATTAAAAAGAAAAAGCTATCTTCCTTCTTTGCAGTCATACCAATTCCACCTATGTGTTGACCAAAGGAATGAAGTTTGAAATAGTGGGTGAGGCATGATGATCGCTATTATTCTGTTTAAGTTTTAGGAAAATCACAATCGACAGTTTTTGGGGACAGTCTCAGACATTTTTAAAGTTAGTTTTTGAGCACTTTTTGAGTTTCCAGCCACCTTTAATACAAATTTCAAACACCACTCTACATTTCTACCTTGATGGAGAACCACTCCCCAAAATAACACCAAACATCTCTGGGTCTGGTGGATTACCAAGTTCCTAAGATGACAGTGACAAGGAATCAATAAAAATATCCACTCTCCAAAAAGCATTGAGTCTAATATCTATGCAAAGGGATTTTAATCTTCAGAATTTACAGAGATACCTTAAGCAAAAGAGTCAGGAGAGAAAAACTAGAATCAGTTAGCTGCTTGATTCCAACAACACGTAATGTTGTTGCCCATATCTTCTTCAGGACCAGATGAATTGATTCAACAAGACTGAAGTCCAACTGAAATCTTCTCTGTGAATAACACTGCACAAGACCCTCAACACAACTCAGTACAGAAAGGATGGTCTCCTGTCTAAGAGTGATAAAAATAGGAAAAAGAATTAGAACTGTGTCAAACAACATAAGCAAGAATTAAACAAATCCAAGAAAAACCTTATAGAAAAAATCAACTCCATGAAAGTCCCATTTGAGGAGCGGTGTATTATTTTACATCCCTTTTTGCTGAGCAAGGGGTGTTTAATTTCCCGCTGTTGCTTTACATTTAAATGAAGTAAAGTAAGAAAATAAAGAAAAGAAGCCCGAAAAAATTCAGGCCCCAACCAGATTCAAAACTGTGCTGCCCAGATAACAGTTGGTTATTATTATTAACTGAGCTACAAAGCTATATGTTGGGAGTGAGCAAGGATTTACTTGATTTCATCCACAGGTCAAATGAAATTTATTTCATTGAAAATATTGTAACACTGAGATAAATCACACTTGAAACATAACTGAGTGATATTTCCTATAGAATATAAAACTAGTCACACAGGAAATGAACCCAACAAATGATTTAAAATGTGTTCATGTGAAGTAGAGGAGACAAAAATACAGACTGAAGTAAAACTGCCCTTAAAAAAGGATATAAGGCAATGGAGTAACTTTATTCATTAACCAACAAAACCAGAAGTATAAATTAAAATAAAAGCTGCAATTACCTTTTATACTTAGTTTGCAACTGAAGTAGACTTGAAAAGAAAGGGCAAAATTCGTTGGCAGGGATACTTGAGGGGTGTTTTACAAATAACACAGCTAAGATCTGTAACCTGAAAATAAACACACTGTGTTACGAATAACTATAGTCAGAATAACTGTCAATAACACTTAGAAATACATTTGGCAAGCAGCACTTTGCACTACTATTAAATTTTATTATAAATCATGCATATGTTAGATTCTATCCACACTCTGATTGGGTCTTATCTATGATGATGAATTTGAGGCTACAAATGACGTTAAGCTATTTGTGTGAGTTTTCACACTGTTATCAACAGATTTCATGTTATAGTGTAATTATATGGTAAGAAATCAAGGAACAAAACATGCTGAATAGAACTTACCAGGAGAGTAAAACCAAATTTTCAGAGCTCCTGTCTAAGGTTTCTCTTGCAACATTCCAGCCAACTTCAATTTTCTGCCGTTTTGCTCCTTAAACAAGACAATGTAAAATGAGGCAGATACAGGGGTATATCACCTCAACTTTGAATACTGGAAAATGTGCCTTGTTTAGACTTTATATTTGAATGTAAACTCAAATGCATGAACAGGAACTACTGAACAGATGTAACTTCTTCCTTTAATATCCGCACAACATCCAAAAAACAGGTAATGATAATACTTGAACTTATCAGGTAAAAGTTGACATCTCAATCTAGCACCAAATTCTTGCAAGTTATTTAAAAAGAAATAATTTATGTTGCAGCTAGGGTGAAGAATTAAAAATCAGATCTTGGGAGTTTAAGGGTTAAAAGGAATTAGAAAACTTTGTAAAGGAAGGTAGATGCTGTAAAAGGGGCAACAAATGAGGGCATCAATCTAATCAGCAGCAAGGGGGTGACCATAGTAACCAAGCCAGAGCCAACCTCCAGGCAGCTGTCAACACATCACTTAAAAAAAAAAACAAAAACAAGAGTGTGGAATAAATATTTGAGAATAAATGCTTGGAAGGGGAAGGAAGGGAAAAAAGAAAGCAAAGTACATTTATGGTTAAGTAAATTAAGTAAAAGCACAGGGTAATATCTCTGCATAAACATACTTTGGTAAAAGCAGCACATTAATTTGCTATCAACCTCACCTAAATGACATTTAGCCCAAGTTCATTATGATGACCAAGGCTGTGGTCTAGCAGTGCCTGTTGGCCCCTGGCACCTTACTTTTGCTCTAGGGTGACTCAGGAATTTTAGTTTTTTCATAAAAAGCATATGCTGGGCACCCTGGATTTCAAAGTTCCAGAGCACTGGGCTCCATTCAATTTTCCTTAGAGCACAGCCTTGATAACATGATGCAAAAAAAAAAAATTCTCAAGTAAGACATGAATGCAAGCTTCTAAATTGTTGGTCCCCTTTCAAACAATATATCAATTTTATGATCAGATAGAATTAACCAAACCTTGTTCAGATGAAACATCTCGCACAAGACTCACACTGTGATAACTTGTTTGCCTCCAGAACACCTAATAATCAGGAGGTACATAACATGGCATCAGTGCTGACTCACAGTATGTGATGGCACACCATCTCTTCATATATATTACCATGGTGTTATTTTTTACTGGCTGAATGAAAAGAAATGCAAAGAAAATGTTTCTTTCCCAAACTCCAGGGTTGAGGAGCTCAACTTCTTTTTAAACCCAACCATTTGGTGAACACAAATCATTAAATGTTCACTGAAAATAATGACAACTTGGACCAGTTCACAGATGCTAAATGACCAGTTTACTGATGCTAAATGAACGTTCTACAAGTACATATATTTTGAACTAGGTTGTACCGATTGATGAAGCCCTTATTATTGTGTCTTGCAAAGCTCTCACATGCATGTCATCCAAACCAAAGATAATTAGGTCATGCAACTGGGATATCAACATACAGCAAGCTTAATTAATATGACATATAACATTCTATATCCACCTGATGGAAAACATCAGCAGCAAGCTCAACAAATTGTGAAGTGAGTCCAGGATCCAATTTAATGCTGTGGAAGGAAATATGTTTTTTCAGAATGATAATAAGCTAGTTGTAGACTATGATAAACATATCACCAAAAAATCTTGACCTAGCTGCTTGACCTGTTCTGGCCCATAAATAATTCTCTCAGCTAAACTTAAATAATCCTCATCATACAAAATCCTCTTGTTTTCATCCCAGCCTATAGGGTGTTTGTCATCTTTCTAACTTTGCTGCTATGCTTCATCTCCGTCATTCAATTTCTTTTTAGAATCATACTTTTTTTTCCTATTAATAATGATGATAATTTGATATGTCATTTCCATGACCCTGGTAAGAGTAGTGGCAATGAAAATGGTTGGTATATAACTTAGTACATACCTTGAGGAACGTGGCACTTTGTTCTTTAGCTGATCTATATCAGCTATAACTGCTCCATATAATCTTTGGAGACACTCCTGGTCAGACAAAAGAAAGAAAAGCAAAATACCAATCTTTCATCCAGATGTCCACTTAAAAGTGAAAAAACTGACCCTAAATACGAGGAAGAAAATTCTGAACAATTTTGCAACAGAGAAAGATGTTTTCTGTCTTGTCATGAGCATGGGACAAAAAAGAAATTCCAAGTGCCCATGAGGAATTGAACCTCAGACCTTCCAATTCCATGTTCCGATGCTCTACCACTGAACCACAGAGATTCTATGTTGGGGAAGACCCATTACAAAGTTCACATATAGTTCACATACAGTCACATGTTCTGGATACTGCTAGGATCAGCAATATT